GAGCTGCAGAAAGAGAAGGGGAGGTCTGGAGCATAGGAATTCCTCCCACCATCATCACCACAATCGTCTTCTGTCGCTGCCACCTGCTCTCCCAGGGCTCTTCCTTCATGGAAAACTCCCTTCAGGAGAACATAGAGACACAGGGTCCTGGGGAATCCCCTTGCGAAGAGGGTCTCCTCAGGAGTTTGTGGGAGAACATTCAGTGCATCACGTTAATAAGGTGATGCAACTTTCGGTGCATCACGTTAAGGCATTGAGATCACGGGGCAGATCTCATTGCATTTTTTGGGGGGGGAAGGCTTCTGTGTTCGAAAGTCTTTGCAAGGCGTCCCCCCCCCAAGTGTCTTCTGGAGAAAGATGGGATGCTGCATTGGGGGGGGGATGGAATTCCACCACCCCCCGCATGTCTCCTCCGGGCAAAGCACCAGGGTGGATGAGATTGCCCCTCCTAATAGGAGACCTACCACCCCACCTCACACACTTTTGCCCTGAATCATTGGTGGGTTTTAAAAAAGGGAATGAAAGAAAAGTAACTTGGCTCTCCCCTTCCCCCCTCCCAATTTCCCCTTTTCCCGCCAAATCCAACTACCTCCCTCTTCCCCAAATATTGGAAAAGACTGCAAGTCCCCTGGAGGGAAAGCAGCCAGGAGGGTGTAGGGAGGAAGAGGAGGGGAAGGGGCTGCCAAGGGGGAGGAAGGACAGCAGGACGGTTGGGGGGAGAAGGAGGGGGTCAGCTGAGTGGGAGGGGGCTGATGCATGACATCCCCCCCCCCTTTTGAGCTGTGTCCATCTCCCAGGAAAATGAGTTGGGTGGCTTTTACAGCCCCTTTCCTTTGCACTTTTGGCAAGAAGACCAAAAAGATGGCAGACTAGTTTGAAGTCCATTTGGAGGAGTTGATGCCAGCTATTGAGGATAAGAGCTCTAACAGCATACAAACCCTGCCCCAGTGAGTACAATCTGCAGGCTCTTTTGAGTTGCTCATAACAAAGTCCAACAGGCTGCCAGGAGATGTTCCAATGAATATTGGCTTCAGCTCTGCTCTCAGATACAGATAGCAGTGGACACACCTAACATCAAGGGAATGTATGATGGCATCAAGCAGGCTTTAGGTCCAATACAGTAGAAATCTGCTCCCTTGAAGTCTGCTACAGGGGTGATCGTCCAGGATGGAGCACAGCAGATGGACCGCTGGGTGCAGCACTACTCTGAGCTATATGCTAGAGAGACTGTAGTAACCAAAGAGGCATTAAATAACATTGAGTGCCTGCCTGTCTTGGAAGAGTTTGACAGCGAACCAACTTTTGCAGAAATAAAAGCGGCCTTGGAGTCCCTCGTCTCCGGCCTTGGAGTTCCCACCTGGGAAGCATAACATCCCTGTTGAAGTCCTGAAGTGCTGTAAAGAGACCATCACCACTGAGCTGTATGAAATCTTTGCTGGAGGGAAGGTGGAGTACCACAAGAGACAAAAGATGTAAAAATTGTCACATTGTATAAGAACAAAAGGAGACGGGGCAACTGCAATAACTACCGTGGCATCTCTCAGCATTATAGTGAGGTGCTTGCCCGTGTTGTGGTGAAGAGACTCCAGGTGCTTGTAGACATGCTTAAATATTGATAAAAGCACTATTTTAAGACATATTCTTAGATTTAACTTTAATATTTTGCTTACGTCTTTAAAAAACAGCTTCCAAAATTTCAATATATATTCACATTCCCAACACATGTGAAGGTAGACTCCCCTTCCTGACCATGTTTTGAACATATCTTAGAATGTTTTGTTTATCCATACAATTCAGTTTTACTAATTTTAAGGACCATCTCCAAAAATGTTTTTTAAAATTATTTTATTCTTATAGATAAACAATTTTAAAAATCCATATATTCTTCCGCTTCTCAATATTTATTTCTTCTTTCAAATCTACTTCCTATATCATCTTTAAAATCTCTTGTTGATCCTCTGCTTCTATTAATATCTTATACATTTTTCATTCTTTTCCTCTCATTTTTTTTCCATCCGAAAGTAACCAGATTATCAAAATGAAATTACAGAAATGATTTGGGAGCGAATTGAAAGCATGAATGACAGACAGGAAGGCAATTAGCTTGCTGGCATAGTAACAGACGACACAGTAAAATATAATTCGTTCGATGGGAGAAAGCAAGATGATACTGTTTCAGCCAGTCCCCAAAATCAAGACGGAATTAGTTAGGAAAAGGAGAGGCCCATGTATCACCTCAAGATGACTGGAAGATGATCATGGTCAGCAAGCAGTACAACAAAACTTCCACTGTTAGGAAACTTCTAGTTCTCTTGGGTTCTTTCTCAAGGGTGGAGGGAAGGTCGAGTCACCTTTTTCAAGGGTGATTTGGTTCTGTCAAAAACTGGAGAAAAAAAGGGGTATATGAAGCAGAGGGGAGATCATCTGGCCTATGAGAATTCTCCTTCCAACTGATATATACCTTTTCCAGTTCTTGGCTCTTTTTCTCTTCAGTTTTGCCCAAGAAAATACATGCTCTTATCTCTGATTAATGCTGGGAAGCGAAACTGTTTTCCTACTCAGCCATCAATCTTTACTTGGTTCTGTGCAAAGAAACCCTGTTATTCATTCATTCATTCATTCATTCATTCATTCATTCATTCATTCATTCATTCATTCATTCATTCATTCATTCATTCATTCATTCCTTTTTACCTTATCAGAAAAGACAATCCTCAGGATGGCTCTCTCTTATCTCCTAAGAGCTAGGAACAACTAAAAGGCTTTTTACCTTATCAGAAAAGACATTCCTCGGGATGGCTCTATATTATCTCCTAAGAGCTAGGACCAACTAAAAGCAGTATACACCGGACTCTGACGTGGGGAGCTCAGAAATGCTTTAAAAAAAAAAAACTCAACTGTGTGAAGTTCCAAGGTGTACGTGTTTGGCTTGCTTAGAGCTAATGGCTCCCTGTTTATATATTTTTTGTATGTCTGGCACCTTTGTAGGGGGCCACAGACTGGAAAAAATTCTCCATACACCACCTCATAAGGTTTGTTATGTGACTTATACATTCCTGACTCAGCCTATATATCTTTCATGTTGTGTTTATGGCTGGAGTCAAGAAGAGAATGGCTGCTTTGAAGAAAGGCTCAAGAAAGTGAGCCAGGAGGTGGCAAGGTTGAAATAGATTCGTTTTTGTCACAATTACACCGTGTAAAGTGAATTGTGTGGAAGACTCCCAATTTTTCGGGAGGCATTTGTTCCTTTTCGTTAAAATCTCAAATTAGATTTGCTCAACCACACATACTGCACCACCTATGACACTGTGGGAATCTCTAGGTCGACAACTGTGGAAGCCATCTTTCCAAGCAGGCAATAGTTCACTTACCAGAGGCTATTTGGTAGGCGACGTTGTGTTTTCGGCCTCTCTCTGCAGGAAGAGAAGAGAAAAGTCAGCCAAAGGGTTCTCCTGGGGAACCAATCCTGCCCTGAAAACCTTAATCCTCATTAAACAGCTTCACCTCTTAGTAACTAACTGGAAAGGAAGAAGAAAAGTCCAGAGGATTCCTCAGGCACTGATTTATTTCCTGGTGTAAGCCCTGACTTTTCTTTAGAGTAACTCAGGCCAGCCAAAAAGAGAACTTTTTTTTTAGCATGAGAGGTGTGCCACTGCTTGAGTGTGTTTTCTCTCCCTTTCATTTCATATTCACAAGTGGAACAAATTCTGGAAATAACCAGTAACTAGGTACTGTTTGGAAAACACATAGCTCACAAATACTTGCAAACATTTGCAAGGAGCAATATCAGAATTGGTCACTAGAGGGAACTGCAAGACAATACATAATTGGAGTGACTTTAATGATTTTTTAAAAAAATAAATAAATCCCAAACTCTCTTAAAGAAGAGAAAAAATTTGAGATTTTGTTCCCTATACTCACCATTCATCATAACGCCCCTCCCTTTTGATGGCCTGTCAAAATCAGCTGGCTTGTTAAATTTATCAGCAATAAATCCTAATTCTTTATTTGAATTGGATCATTCAGATTTCAGCCAACTCTAGTTGTCAGTTCTCATTGGCTGAAATCCTACTGCTCAGCCTAGTAACCTGCAACTAGAGTAGACCCCCTGAATCCAGTGGGGATCTGGGGAGTCTGAAAGATCCATTGATTCAACAAGGCTACTCTAGTGCTGACTTACTACACTAAGTAACGGGATTTCAGCCATTATGTTTTTTAAAAAAAAAACGTACAAATTTCTTCCAGGAACACCAAGTGGTATTTCAAGAGCTGCTCATGCAACCGTTCATTAAAGAATGGGCACTGAATTAAAATTCCTCTTGTTCTAAGACAATGAAATGAGATTCTCTAACCTTATTCACATGCATGCAATTAACAAGCTCAGCTCCTCCGGCCTTTTTTTTTGGGGGGGGGGGTCATGTTACCAGCCTGCTCCTTTTCCTTTCTGGAAAAGCACATCAGGTCAACACAGATCAGAACCGGAGGAAGAGGGTCAGAATCGATGGAGAAAAGAGGTGTCATTTAAGAAGATGTATTGAGGACACCCCTTGACTGACTCCAACTCTCAATGATTAGATACGTATTCCAAGAAATTAACATCTCATCACATTCTGCCTCAAATATCTAGTCAGGACTAGGCTGGAGAAGGCGGCCCTAGCAACCCAATTGAGAACATTACGTTTTAAAAGCAACGTGTTGCATCGCTAATTGCTCTTATACAGCTAGACTCCCATTGGTCACCTGTGTTGCATTACATGCCATGTGTCATGTTCTCAGTTTGTAGAAGAAAATAAGCCAAAAAGCATGTAAAAGACAAACATCAGAACCAAAATTAAAACGACAACAAAAATCCTTCTCTTATCACTCTGAATTGGTGATTTTAAAAAACCTGATAAAATGTCTCTAAAAATACCTTAAAATGCCTTGAAGAAGTAACTTTTCAACATCTCAAGCTGTTAATTGTAGCTAACTAGTTTCTGGTAACCACATTACTTGCAATGACTAAATGCTGAATTTCTGCTGAGTTTCCTTGGTTTGCTTACTGAGACATAAGATGATTCCCACCACGACCATCACCAGAACAAGAGCTGCAGCCCCCACGATGAGGATGATGAGTCCTGTATTGAGTCCTGTGCCTGGAATGAGATACACATGATTGCTTATAGTCTGAGAGACTGGAAAAGTCTCCATTTTGGTGTTGGAAAGAACTTAATGGAGTTAGCTATGTTGGCTTCCAGAAATGGGCATTCCAGAAATGGGGTGCCACCATCGAAGAGGCACTGCTTAGCTTTCAGCCTCAAATATCTAGTTGGGGCTAGATGTCTATCTTGACTAGATATGCTCTCTCTCCCACAGGCATGGCTCCTGCCAGGTGTTAACAGCATTAATGCTGGAAAGCTCAACCCTGACAGGATTCTATCTTTTTTTCACCCATGCTCTTTCCGACAAGAAAGTTTCCTCAAATACACACCTTAACAATCGGGCATGCACAGTAAGCCTACATTTGCATTCCAGTGGCCAATCTCAAAACAAAGAGAGGGACACCTCCCAGAATCTAATTTTTACACACACACACACAAAACACACAAGGATCAAGTCTCTCTCACCATCCGTCTCTTCCCAGGCAACGGCCAGAGGCTCGTCCAGACCGCTGTGGTCCACATGGCACTGGTAGAGGCCCACATCTTTGGGGTCAATCTGGACACTAAGCCAGGTGTAGTAGGTCCCATCTGAGTTCAGGAGGATGCCAGCGTGGAAGGTGTCCTCCATCCAGACCTCCCCATCCTTCCTCCAGGTGGCCTCAATCTCCTTGGGGTAGAATCCGTAGACCCTACACACGAGGGTTTCCTGGTCGCCAGAGTCCACCCTGCGCAGCACTTTCACCACCGGAGGCTCTGAGGAAATGGCCACACCAAGATTTTTAATGACGTTGAATGACAGACGAGATGAGTCAAAAAAACTAAACAGTCGGAAGGGGCTCCATCTAGACCATCAGTCATCTAGACCAAACCAAGTGCAGGATGGTGACAGCGTCCCTGGCAGATGCCCATTCAACAAAGCAGAGTCCCCCACCTTCCAACACAGCCTTTTCTGTCATTGAATAGGACTTCCTGTTAGAAAGTTTGGTCCTGATGTTTACTCACAATCTCTTTCCTCATAATTTGAACCCAGTATTGTGGGTCATAGTTTCTGGAGCTTCAGAAAAGAAGCTTGCACCATCTTCAGGTTCCATTAGAGGATGATGTATATCAGGGATAGACTAGCAAGGCAATGGATTTAGGAGAAAGGTGCATACATTCAATGTATTCGCGAAGGCTTTCACGGCCGGGATCTAATGGTTGTTGTGGGCTTTTCGGGCTCTTTGGCCGTGTTGTGAATGTTGTTCTCCCTCACGTTTTGCCAGTCTCTGTGGCCACAATCACCCATCTCCTGAAAAGGACAAAAGCTGATCCCACAGCTATAAATACTCAACTATCCAAACAAACTGCACCAGAGCACAGACAGAGTTCTGACTCCTGTCCTCTGAAAATGCCGGCCACAGAGACTGGCCAAACGTTAGGAAGAACAACCTTCAGGACGCGCCAAAGAGCCCGAAAAACCCACAACAACCAAGCGCGTACATTCCTTTGGACTTTGCACTCACAATCCTGCTTGTTGATTTTATCTTGCATGTACAGTTTTAAGTTTTGTTTTGTGAACTGAGCATTCACGTGGAGCTATTTAGTTGGGGTAGCATCAATTCAACACGTTTTTTCAGAATCCCCTGAATGGAAAAGGGTGAAGGCACAGAGGAGTTACAGCCAAGAACTGTCGCTCCTGCAATCGCTCAACTGGGGGATATCAGCAAACAATGAGAGACGGAGGGATTGCTGTTCCTGGCCTCCACACACATTCTTCCCTTCCAGAGCTTAGAAATGCCTTGATCTTAATGCATTAATTTTAAACTGCTTTTTTTTGGGGGGGGGGCTAATAGGAAATGCAAATTCACTTGCATTCATCGCCATTAGGTCACACCAGGGAATCTGAGTGAGTTCGATTTAAATGGCCACACTCTACCACCGCCATCCACTGCAACCCAGCACCACCAATCCACCATGCCCCCCGCCACCCACTGATGCCCACTGTGGCAGTCTCCACCACTGCCGCCTGCCATAAAGGAAACCGGCAGCCCTTTGCAAAGATGGTAGCTGTGTTTCACTACCCAAAGTGAAGCTGCAGCCCTCCATCTTTGCAAAGGACAACCCGGATTCCCCTAGGCATCTTTGCAAAGGACAACCTGGATTCCCCTAGGGCAGGTTCTGGGCTGCCCTTTGCAAAGGAATCTGGGCTGCCCTTTGCAAAGATGGCGATTTCAGCATCCCTGCCCTAAGGGAAGCTGCAGCCACCATCTTTGCAAAGGGCGGTCCTGTTTCCCTTAGGGCAGGCTGCTCTTTGCTAAGCTGGTGTTGGAGGCCTTAGGGTGGAGGCTGCGGTGGCGCAACTGGCCGTGGTGGTAGTGGCCAAGGGAGGGAGGAGAAGGAGCAGAAGGCAGGCGGTGTGTGTGTGTGTGTGGGGTTGTCTGCCTATGCGCCTGCTGATCAGCTGTTCAGTGCGGGCCCAGAGGCCGAAAGGTACGGCTAGCCTTCCTTCTATGCCTACGGGGGATGAATACAAATGGAGATATATTCGTCCCTTCGTATTCGCCGGGGTCTCTAGAACTCATGAATACAAAGTGTCGAATAGTAACCGAATCAGCAATTTTTAACGAACACCGCACTTTTTAAAAATTCACTCCCCGTGACTAGTGGTGAGGTTCAAAAACCTGCACTAAGAGGCAATGAGACACCTTAGTTCATGTCCTGATCAGAGTTTGCTTGTTAAGAAAATAAAATAATAAAACAAGGAGAAGTGTTGTCCAGGAGGAGGTGTTTCTTTTCTTTTTTTAAAGGAAGAATCTTAGAAAAAATTTTTTTGCTGGGAAAGAGTGCGACGGTGCTGCCCTGCTTTCCTGTTCTAATGAAGAGAAAGAGTCAAGAGGTGAGGAGAGAGGTGCTCTCTGTGTGCCTCCACGGGCAATGTATCCTCCCTTTTTTGCATCAGGACCACACGCTTTGAGCCAAAGCAAAAAGACTGGAAAAAGAAAAGGGGCTCAGATAGGGACGGAAAGTGATGGAACTGGGGGTGTGGGATTCAGGGTTGGTTTGCATTTCCCCTTCTGTTGTGTTTGAACACCAGGAGAGAAAAAAAGGGGGGGGAATCAGACCACCCGGACCTGTAGCATTTCCTGCATTTTTTATTGATGTGGTCACCCCTTAAAGCACCCAGAAAGAAGGCACCGTTAGCAGATCCAAGAACCAAAGGTTTGTCTTAGTAGGCATCCATTAGTCTCAAGAGACTATGGTATCGTGCTCTGAATGGAGGCTTTGGAACAGCATTTGAGAGTGACCATCCCTTCCACACTGAAGACAAATACAATCTGTCCCGTCCAGCCCCCTGATTTTCCTGGTTTTGGGAATGCTTCTCTGCCTCGGCCTGCTGGACAAGGGTCTCTCCAAATTGGGAGGGGCCATGGTGCACCGCATCCCTCCAGGCTGAACACTCAGAGGTCAAGGTTTCCCATCTGTTGAGGTCCATTTCCAAGGCCTTCAGATCCCGCTCGCAGATCTCCTTGTATCGCAGCTGTGGTCTCCCTCTGGGGCGATTTCCCTGCACTAATTCTCAATACAGGAGACCTTCCAAAAGGTTTGTTTTAATCTTCCAAGAACATCACAACCCCAATGTTGGGAAGCATCACCCTGTGAAGAGCCATGAATTATTTGACAATTTCTTTAGCACAACAGTACAAGAAGCTTTGATGGATATCTCCCTCCTCGCTCTCCTCACCTTTCTTGAGCAGCAGCTCCTTTCCGTAGCCCAAGTATCTCTGCAGCAATTCAATGCATTCTCCCTCGAGGTAGACCTTCTGCGACTCGATATAAGCCTTGTCTGCATTCCACCACTTCCGGATCACATCAGGTATGGCTCTGGATGTCGCCACCCAGGTTAGGGTCTCCAGGTTGAGATACATCACCTCCCTCCCTTCATAGGCCAGACGGTCGAACCCATTCTTGTGCCCATCATCACTCAGCTCACAGCCATATGTCCACTGCAAACAGGAGAAACCTTGCAAGTTGTGGGAGAGGGGGAGAGAAGCAAGAATATCAGAATTTGGGAAAGATCAACGTTGTGCCCAGATACAGTCGCTGGTTGGATGCCATGTATAGATCTATAAATATATACCAGGTAGTCCCCCGCTCATGTCTGAGGGTGTGGACTTCTCCAGAAAAGCTCACATTAAAACCAAGCCATTAATCTTTAAGGTGACAGAACATTTTTGTCTTCTTTATTTTTCCTTTTCTCCCTGATATGAATCAGGTTGGTACACTTTCCTTCCTCTAAACTCTTCTCCGACTTCCAGGCTTATTCAGGTCCAGAGAATAGAAAAAGGTTATTGTGTTGGGTTTAGTATATTATTGTTCAACCACTCAAAGCAGTGCTTTCCAATAAATCGGGTGGTTAACAAATGATTGAGCTGAATAAACAAATAATATTTGGCCAAGATCCTCTATTTATTTTTTATTTTTATTCTGGACTATGTGAAATTGTAGAAATATTCTGCTGTTCAATGAATTGCTGCCTTGATTCTTTGTCATGTAAAAATACTACAGTATGTGACTGATGATTGGCAAGTAATTCAAACAGTGCCACATATTAATGTGGGGCAATGCACAGCTGCAGTTTATGCCATTCTGCTTTCATCAGTACAAATAACCAACAGAAGTTAACAATCCATCGTTAACCATCATCCCTGGTTCTTGAAAATCATTATTGTTGTTGCTGCTTGGACTTAAATGCTGCTCAATGGTGCCAGAAGCACTTTGATCCCTCCCCCCTTACTTCCGTGTATAAGATGACCCTCAATTCTTAATCTAAATATTTTAGAGAATAGTATCGTCTCATACACGGAAAAATATGGTATATTTTGATTTGTTTTGAATATTTTCAGCCCATGTTTGATTATTTTAATCTAATGTGCTGGTGCAAAAAAGATCATTAAAATGCTTTAAATACAGGAATGAATAGACAGATGCTTGAATAAATGAAGAATGGCCAGCTTCACTCTTCCACCATCCAGCAGAAGTAATTTCTTTGCTCAGAACTATAGGAACTCTGTTTTTAAAGTTTGGCTCAAAATGTGAAGAAGTATCTGTTTCTCAATCAAGTCCCCATCACTTGTTTTAGAGGCTGTGGACTGGGAACGTGTGAAACGCAAAAGGGAGAGGGGGGGAACTTTCTTCTTGAAGGAATGCTCCAAAATTCTCTGTGCAGAAGCATTCATTAGAGCATTATTACAGCTGAAAGGACACAAATGTTAGAGAGAACTGTTTGAAGCAGACCTTCCTCTTTGACAAATCAGACTTCAAAGGATTCTTGTGCTTAAGTCCTATACAGAGATGGACACAAACTGATTCATGTCACTTCGTGTAAAGCCCGTTGCATGACGTTGCAGATGCTGCATGTTCCATCCTTCCACCCCCTGGCCAGCTGGCCCGCTCACAATCCATCATGCGCCACTGGGGGTCCTCCTTCTCTGGCAGCAGTCCAGTCCAGGCAGGAACTGGGGCTACC